AGTGCCAGCATGAAAATCGACTTTGCTTTTTACCAACAGAAGCGACTCTATCACCCTGCACACCCACGTTAAGAGTCCGTCAAGAAAACGTACTTACGTTTGTTTCGTCTATTCCCAGCGCACAGAAATTTAGCCCACCTTATATAAATCTAAGTAATAATAATAATACATTTATTTCAGGTCCTAGTAGCATACCATGCATGGGCCATGCATGTTTTCACGGTGGGCACTGGCCTCCCCCCCAGAACCGCCCCCCCATTTAGAAAATAAAATGTTGTTTTCATATACGAACCAATGGGCTCATTTATACACGATTCATACAAACGAAATAGCAGAAAGTCATTTTGGGATTTATAAAGGAACAACATAAAACATACCCTGAAAAATTACGCACATTTACGAATGGTCCAAAGCAGTCGACCGAACGTTTTGGAGAAAACAGAAAAGGCGACGTCTAGAGTTCAGATATAATTTAGTGCATCTAAAACTTGCATTCACGGTTGGTTTTAGCGCTTAGTGAAATATTAATAAAAATAGGAACATTTTGTATTATATCTGACATAAAGCAATATATCTGAAAAGGCAAAGTAAGTACAGGCACGTGACCCCTTGACGTTTGCGGTTCTGGTTATTCGCGAGTTGGCCGTGAACAATTAGACGGGAATATTTTTGCATGTTGCCGAAACATCGCAGAAACTTGTAGACTACGCATAAGCCAGAATCAATGCTGAACTGATTTGGATCACAAAAAAATAATATATTATTTAAATATTAGTAATATATAATATTTGTTAATGTAAGTACATACTCCATCTTTAATAGTAAAAGTCTTGCCTTGGCTACGCCGTGCATCTTTGTCATGGTAACCTGCATCACTTGGGTTAGCTGTCTTTGTGACTGTAAGTTTAGACTTTTCACTGCCCTTATTGTGCATTTTGAGTGATGGGTCCAAAGCATGGTGCTCCCAGTGCGTATAGTAGTGTTATATAATTTTTTTTAGATAGGAAATGACAAAGCAATTTGACATGCAAAGTGTACAGTACAGTACTGTTGTTCAGACATAGTAATAAATAGACTTTTATGTTAATTCTCTGGCTAGCAGATAACAGCTGCAGTCACACGCTGCCATTCTGCTTTTTTGTCACACCGGCAGATGCGCTACCAGACACACAGGTTTGGCGTTCCTCTGCTATGGACACTATAAAGTCTGCACTTCACATTCTGAGAAATTCCCTTTTTCCTCTCATTTGTGGCTCCATTGCCCCATGTCTCCCGCTGGAAATTTCAACATCTACTCTTGAATGTGTACCTTCAGCTGCATAATATACGCGTTTCAATTAACAGGCCAAAACAGACGTTAACATTAGAATTGATTTTCAGTATGAAATACTCACACATTTGCTATTTGTTTAGTTCTCCCCAAAGGAGCTTGATGGGCCGAATGGCCTCCTCTTGTTTGTAAATTTCTTATGTCCTTATGTGTGTGCGTGTGTGTGTGTGTGCACGTGCAAAAAAGGTCCAGTAACATATACCATTTAATTTCTCTTTTTAATAAAAGTTATACAAGAGTATAGTTGATATAAAATTATCCAGATTATGTACATGATTTACAATTTCCAGTTAAAGCACTGGGAAAACAACAACATTAAATATAACTTAACACATTCAGCCATGAGAGGAAGTGCAGAGCGTCCAGGCATATCGAAATCTCGGGAAGGTTACACCGGCAGGAGCCACAGGGGGCAGCAGACACTCTGATAGGGGATTCATTGTCCCACCCCCTTTAGCTGATAGCCATTCTGTAACCCTGGTCGGCAGGGTGAGTGGAGGCAGCTCTTCACACATCACAGTGTGCTGGGCTGCTAAGGCTTAGGGGGCAGATGGGGGTGAGGCAGGGACACCCCCTACTGGTAGGATATGGCAAAGAAAGGTGTGTAAAGGAGGTGCACTCCATTGTTTTCGCAGGGCACGGCTTCCCCTCCCCCCTCCCTGGTGCAATGCAACACCAGGCCGAGCTCCAGAGCCCAGGGCAGGGGGCCCTCCCACAAACCAGTGTCTGTCTCCTGGGGAGAGGAGCCAACCTGCCCCACCCTAAGTCCTGCCCCACTCTGCCTCGCCAGGCCCCCCACTCTGCGAAAGTCTACCAGGCTGGACCCCCCCCGAGTTCCACCGATGGCCTCTTGAAGGCCCTGGAATAGGAAGAGCAGGTCGAGCATGAGCTCCAGCTTGCCGTGCCCCGCCCAGACGCGGTATCTGCAGGGAGAGAGCGGCGCCATCACATCACCATCACATCACGTTGCAGCACAGTCACCACAATATCTGTTTATGTATTGTTCACCATAATTGTACTCGTATTTCTTGTCTTATTGATTTTCTGTACAATTGGCCCCTGCTTTTAGCACCTTACTTTGTGTTTAATTTGTCTTTACAGACAGGAAGGATAGGCAGAGTGAGACAGAAGTTACACAAACACAGGAGCAGGTGAGGCAGTGCTACGAGGCAGCGTGCTGAGGCAGCATTACGAGGTAGCGTGCCGAGGCCCTGGGCTCTTACCGTGTGGGACGCTTGTGTGTTGCCAGCCATGGCTCCACTCTGAGGTGCAGTGGATTGGAGATGTGCAGGTGTACCTCTGCTCTCGTCACCGTCGCTGACAAGACGTCAGGACTGAGCAAAAACTCCACCTCAGAGTCTGAAAAACAGTTTGATAATAAATGCAAAGCACAGACTATAGAGCAAAAAGCAGAACCTTTATCATTTTTGTCTCCTGTCTAACTTAGCACAAAAAACTTGAGACATACTAGAGTCCATAGTCTTGTTTATTGTCATCTTATAAATGATGCTATATGACGCAGGAGTCACCCACTGAAATGAAATATCTATGTAGTATATTACGGGGGACGACAAAATATATTTCCAGTTGGCCAATAAAATACGAACCAAGCAGATACGCAGTATAAATACGCTACGGGACTTCCTCAGTTTCTTACATAGGATGACAATCCAGAAGAAATTAAATACCACGAAGGTAACGCGTCATGCACAGGGACACCTCGGAAGAACCGCTCACCCGCACTCAGCTGGCCCTGAATGCCCTTGATGCTCCGGCAGAGGAATCCCATCTGACAGCACCGGTAAACCCGCCTTACGAAGCCGAACAGCGTCTGTTCAGGGAAGACTGCGCGACGAGGACCCCCCTCTGGTAGGGAGAGGATCCTGAGTCGGTACTGATGTCCCCGGTCCCCGCCGCCTCGGGTCTCCTTCCAGGGCGCCGCCAAAAGCGCGCAGTGTTCCCGCTGCATCTCAATGCTTTCTCGCCGCCATCTTTCGAATGCGGGCCCCGTCCCCAGCGCGATGTCCCGTTCGCTAGCAATGGGCAGCGTGGGCATTTGCGGCATCGGCAGACACTGACCTCCTCTGCTCCAATTCATGCACAATATGAAGACCACCCAAGGGCAGCAGCGCGCAGTCATGGCAGTAAGGTCTTGCGGTCGCATGGCCCGGTGGTCCACGCGCTTATCCCTATATATACGTGTGCTTTGCGATCGTGCCTTCGAGACTCCGGCAGCGCCGTTTGATGCAGGTCGGCTGACTGGCACGGCAGTTATATGGTTACAGCTCTGCTCTGACAATGGAGAGTTTTTGCTATTTTAAATTTGAATTCTCCTAGCCCACTCCCCTCCCCCCGTTTTGTTCGCAGCTCAGTCTTAACCATTCGCACCCCCGCAGACACGTACAATGTGCCTACATAATAAGGCGCCCTAAACGCATCGACTTCCACCCATTGACATTCAGCTGCCGTCTTAATAACCCCAATTAAGCTATATCTGGACCATTAGGAATGAACTCATTTGCAAGAGAAGAGACGCCAGTTGTAAAAGATTATAAACCCATGGTGCTTGGCATTAATGTGCTGTTACTGCGTCGTTGTCAGCGAGCTATTTAACCCACCGCTGACACTAACTTCTGAGCAGTTCTTAAATTTAAACCCCCTAAAAAATCCATTGTAACACACAATCTGTAGGCTAAATTGGGTTTCGAATTAATATTTAAATAACACAGAAGTAGCGGTAGAATACAAATCCATTCATCAATCCATCCATCCATTTTCTGTAACTGCTCTTCCTATTCAGGGTCGCAGAGGTTCCCGAGCCTATCCCGGGAACTACAGGCACAAGACAGGGAACAACCCAGGATGGGGCGACAACCCATCGTATATATAATACATATATATTCAGGAAGTACTTATGAATTTTCTTCCCTGAGGATTGATAGGTTGATTACAGATAGTGGGGATGGTCTCCATCTGTAAGTAGATCTCTCATACAACAGCGTGTCTTATGCAAATAATGCATTTGAACAACCACACTTTAGTTGTGATGGACCCAGCAGTGGTTTTATTGCCTCAGACCCATTTGTACGATTCCCAAGAGGGGTCTCCTGAGAAGTGGGTTTTGCACCCTCTTTGAAATTCCCAACAAGCCTTCTGCAGAGCTCCAAGAGATAGAGCGCTTGAGCCTCATTCAGTCCTGAGCTGCATTTATGCCAGATGCCTTTACAGAGTTTATGCATGGTCAGTGAGTGTCGGGGAGCCCGAGAGCCTGCTGGCTGGACAGCCAGACTGCAGAATGTGTCAATGGGCCACAGCATTCCTGCATAATGCAGCAGGCTGCCGTTAAGCATCGGGACCGTCCCACTGGGGCGTTCCCGTCGTCAGCGCAGCACAGTGTGTCCGCATGACTGCCGGCATGCATGGGCAGCTGGAGGTGCTACGATCCTCTGGTTAACCCACATAACAAAAGCAGCCTGAGACGTGGCAGGCGAATCTCCGGCGCTCAAGGCTTATTACACTGTAACACCGGCGATGCAGCATGAACACGCTGCAGCCAAGTCACGGTCTCTCAACTCCAGCCCTGAATCATTAGCCTCTGAGGCTGAGTGCAAGCGTGAGGTCAGGCAAATTAGCCAGAGACACATAAGGTGGCAGGAACACAGCCAGCGAAGACGTGACAATGGTGTCTTTATTTGCAGCATAAGATAAATGCAGCACGTAGAGGGAATGACAACACAGCTTTTGAAGGCCAGATTTAAAGAGCGAACATAAAGATAATGTCTTAAAATACATATAGTATTAACAAAGGACTGTTAAAACAGGGGCCCAGTCACTTCAAGTGGCTCTGAATAAAAATCGAGACTCTGCACGATATGCACATGCGCAATAATTGGCAACCATACCAACTTATTTGACTTGCTCTGTTGGTAGATAACTTCCACTTAGCTAAAGTCTATTTTAGATATTTTTCCATCTCCTTTTCTGTTTTAAAAATATCAGTTACTCAGCCATTTCAGTTATTGAGATATGCAGCAGTAATAAGTGTCTTTACAACACATTAGGTCACTGTACTATTGACTTTTCCATGAACTGATAAACTGCAATACATGTTGCTAATGTTTTGTAATGACCATGTAATGCAACAGCCAAGTATAGGCCTTTAAAGGTACAATACTCAGGAAAAGGCTGGATTAAATATATTAGGGTAAGACCTCTGAATGTAGGCCACAAATTTTTCGGTTCCGGCAAGTCAGATGAAACCCAATGGCCGAGATCTGAAGCTGGGTTGGCCCGGATTTGGGAAAACTCAGTGTTACTTCTGTCTTACATTACTTTCATCATGTTTTTATCTCACTGGCATGAGTCTTCCTGTCTTTGGCTCTCCTGTCATTTATCTGAAGGCACTTGCACAGTTTGTAGTTTTCCACCACTGATTATTCATACAGGTCATTAGTTTACAGAGATGATTCAGCGTAAGTATAATACGTGCCGTTGTCCTCCCACAGCAGAGCAGATAATTCCTGAGGCTTTACCTGATCAGCCAAATAATCAGCTCCTTCACCTGCAGCTTCGCATAAATACTCACAGGATATACACATCAGCATATAGACAGAGGAAGTAGATTTGATCATAGATTGAGAAGGTGAACAGTTGTGTAGATCGAGGAGGTGGATTTGATCACAGATCGAGGAGGTGGATTTGACCACAGACTGAGGTGGATATGGTCATAGACCAAAGAGGTGGATTTGATCATGGAGGTGAACAGGTGCATTACTACTATTATTATTATTGCTATTGCGAATAGGCACTGCAGGAAGACGGGTCAGAGCAGGTTGAGCCCGTGCTTCAGCAGCTTGTGTCTGGCCTTGGTGGGTAAGGAGAAGGCACTGTCCTGTGGGTTGGGAACCCCAGAGTTCCTCACTGTTGCCCCCTGCTGAAGAAAATAGGTCTCCTGGGCTGAATTGCAAGTTCCGTACACAGCTGATCCAGCGTTCCTAACAAAAACCAAGCAAAAGAAATGCCTAAAAGATGCATCCCCATGACACCAGCATTACATGAGTGACTCACTCAAAAATATAACCCCCATAGCAGGAAGTAGCAAAGCTTCCTAACTGCCATGCCACCAGGTGACCCAAACTGTCTGCTGTATTCATAATATTAATAATCCCACACTCACAGACAGATAATTTAAAAAATCCTAGTGGATGTATTTCAGATTGGTAGAAGGCACAATAAAATATCAAAGTGATCTGAAAACCCACACTAACCTGAGGATGACCTCCTGCAGCATGGCATCCTGGGAGAAGTGTGTGTGCAGCAGGGCTGCAGCTTTCACAAGCACGGTGCCCTGGGCTTCCCCCGCTGGGACCGGAGGGCCCGTGAAGGGCAGGTTGGCTGCAGATGACAGCAACCATTATTATGGAACTGGAATTCTTAGCAACAGCTTTAAATTGTAAGGGGTACAGAAACGACAAAGGGACAGGGAGACTCTGTGGGATACAGACATTTGTCAGAGACAGGGTGATTCAGTGGGATGCAGAAATGACAGAGAGAAGGGGAGTCTCAGCGAGACACATAAATGACAGAGAGATGGGGAGTCTCAGCAGGATACGGAAACAACAGAGACGGGGAGTCTCAGCAGGATACAGAAATGGCAGAGAGACGGGGAGTCTCAGCAGGATACGGAAACGGCAGAGAGACGGGGAGTCTCAGGGCAAGAGTGTGGCAGGCGGAGGGAGGGAATCCTCACTTGCAAGCGTGTTCTGCAGGCAGTCATAGTGCACGAACGTGTACGGGCAGCCCTGTGCACTGGAGGGCTCCAGGGCGGTGCTGCACAGGTGAGCCTCCAGGCCGTTCAGAGACGCCAGGCTGCTGTGGTACTGGGTGGGGGGAAATTCTATAGGTAACTCCTGCAGTCCCTGCATTTACTGCACCCACCCCAACCTTGTCCCCAGGCTGTGCTTACATTTCATATCCTATTGGCTAATGGACAAACAGACAACACAAAGCTTAAACACCATGTAAGGCAGGCTCTGTGCTCCTAAAGGCAGAACGCGCCGTATCCTCAGCAGCGGCGTCGGTGTGAAGAGCCTCCCTGGTTATGGTGTATCCGTCCGCTCTATGCTACCAGGTCACGTCCCTGTCATCTTTCTATACATTTGTGTGTAATGAAATTACACACAGAACTGGTAATACATCACAATGCAGTGTGACATCACATGCTGGCTGACACAGACACAGACAGATGCCCAAACGGATGTCCCCAGCCTCACCACCTCCTCCATGGCAACGGCATCGTTCTGAAAGTGTGGCTCCACCAGCAGTGCCAGGACCAGTCCTCGGACCCTGTGACGATACAGGGCCATGGCCACCAGGGGGAGCTCTTCCTCCACAGGCTCAGAGGTTTTGTGGTCATCCTCCTGATTGCCCTTCCCTGACTCCTTTGTCCCTCTCGTGCCGTCCCTGTCCTCCACACAACTGAGCTTCTCCAGCTGGTTCACGAAGCCCCTTTTCTCTGTGGCCCCTTCACCCTTGTTGTCACAGCTCATGCTGTCCTTGTATGTATGTCCTTGGAGGTCTCCTTCATTCCTCAGATCTTCGGGTCTGGGCAATGGAAGCCCATTGGGCCATCCTGCCTGATGGGCCTCTTGATTGGCCAGAAAGTGAGGAAGGGCCTGGCCATCAGACCCGGAGGCAGGGCTGGGGAAGGGATGATGGGTGGGCTCTGGGGAAACTCTGGGAGCAGAGCCGCCCTCGTCAGACAGGGAGGAGCCGGTGGAGCAGAGCATCGTCTGAAAAGATGCTCTGGGAGCCACTAAGCCTGTGGGCTCAGGTATGTCGGACAGGGTGCGGGACAGGAGGCGGGGTTTGCCGGCGCAGGTGGTCTGCTGGGGGTGGCTGACAGACCTACAGGAGACAGGGCAGTGTAAGAAGCCATTAACAGAAGGACCTCATTCCAAAGCAGAAGCACATGCTCAGATGGGAATGACCACAAGGTTTATGGTGAGCTGTCCTGGGAATCCCCAGACAACCAGGCTGGGAAACAAGCATATTCCAAGGCTTTGCTCATCCCTCCAAGCTTTGAAGATTTCTCCATGTGCTTAAGAGACATATTATAATGGCAATTGTTCATGTAAATGTAGTGTTATATATAATATAGATAATTAAACAGGTCTGGATACAAAGCCAAGAGGCCGAGGGCTAAGCAGGAAAGCTCTACCACCATTCACAGGCCTAGGGGAGGGGGGATGTAGTGACCGGCAAGGAAACCTGTGTACCCGGTCCACCGGGGGGTACCGTAGAGCATGGAGCTCAGCGGGGGACAGGAACACAGCTGTGGAATTGACACTGGTAGATGGGGTTTGGGGTCCAGCAGAACCAAGCCCATTGGCCACAGGTGCAAAGTCCTGTAAACATAAGGAGACAGTCATTATTAACGGCACATCGCTTCTGTTTATCAACCCATGTGAAAAAAGCCCAGAACCCATCTTTTATCATTAAATATGAGGGTGAGAGTGAGCCGGCACAGGGCAGTGGACGCCTTTGACGAGATGGCAGACCACTGCATTGATATCATTCCTCATTCATAAAATTCTATGAAATGATGAGGTGAGTGTACATGTTACATGTGAAAAAGATTCATGTTTAAAAGGGATGCATGACAAAGATGAGCATAAAAGTCTAAAAGGTACAAGATACATGTAAAAATATGCAAGTGAAAATGAAGAGTGACCTTCGTGGACCTACCAGGTTTTGAGGGTCCCGCTGACAGACCACCACCATAGCTGTGAGCTCAGGGGGCATCTGCGTGCTGACCACCCTGTATGGGATGGCAGAGACAGCCTGGCTGAAGTACTGTGCTGGATGTCCCAGTACATTCAAGACAGTGTGGGACGTCCCAGGACACTTGAGACTGTGGGGGACGTTTGGGACGTTCGGGATGCCCCGGGACACTCAGGATGGTGCAAGACGTCCTGGTGAGGGGTGGCATCAGGCAACAGGCCCTCTTAATGCCCTCCACTACAACATCCAGGACATAAAAGCACCAGCATGACCCCACTGCCCCAGTGAGCACCGCACGGTAGCCCCTCCCACAGTCCACCTCCTGAGCATTTCCCTCCATAATTTAGTTTTGTTCCTCTCCAGCATTTCAGTCCCTGAATCCCTCTTCCCAGACCCCTTCAAAGTCCCTATTCCTCCCCATCCCCATGTCACGTGGTTCTGTCCACTGTCCTGTCTGGAACGATTCTCTCCGACAGTTTACCTGCCATGGTATGAGATGCAGCCAGCGACCACTAAGGGGCAGCGCTGGCACGCCTGCAGGATGAGTGCAGCCTTGAGGAGAAGCAGAGGGTCGATCTGAGAAAGAGGCAGAGAGACAGCAAGCATTGACGTGATCTGCAGAGTAATCAAACAAGAATGAGTGGGGCAAAGAGGACAATCATTTCAAAGTGTTCTTTACATCAAAATGGCTGACAGTCCAGGTGTCTTTAGACCACCCTTTCTGAGAGGGCCTACGCTTTGGTTTGTGTGTCTCACTGCATCCTTCCCTTTACTTTACAAATGGTTTCAAGGCTTCTACTTACATGTGTCGAATCAATGGTGTTCAAGGCGCTGAAGATGTGGTGGAGCTCACTGGCGCCACCCTGCAAGTGATCCAGGTAATGTGACCACTGTGGCGCCAGCTCTTCCTTACTGCGTAGCTTCACATGTGGTTTTCAGGCAAACAAAGAGTACAGACAGCAATTGTTTTTTTAGCATCTAAAGCCATTGAGATGAATCATTCTATTCTTCCTCGCCTTGCTGACAAGTGTACAAGCTACTTACAGAGTTTACATTTCATGCAGTCAGGCAGTTGTAGATCCAAAGCTTTCGATTTAGTGGTAACACAGCAGTCTCTCCACCCCCCCATCCCCCCGACTGTGGGGCCAGCAGGGTGCTCAGGCTCCAAGCTGCCCAACCAAGAATGTCGTACCTGGTAGCTCTGCCGTATGGAGCCGTTGTAGAAACGGAAAAGGCTGATGAGATGATCCAGAAAAGCCCAGGCGCTGACATCTGGAATATCCATGGTACAGCCCAGCGCCTGCGAGAGCACCGCGGAGAGACGGACAGAAAGAATTAAGGGTCAGTAAAAGGACGACAAGAAGGGAAAACGTGAGAGTGAGGAGTGTAGCGGGAGGCAGGGTAATGAGGAAATCTGAAATATCCACACGGCATAGATAGGAAGCCAATATCTCAAAAGACACACCCCCATACTCACTGTGGCAGGGACACCAGTTCACACAAATGCATGACACATTTTTCAGAGAGCACACTTAATGCCTCTATTGACGGTCCCTCCCCAGTCCTCACTCACCCATAGCAAGTCACCCCCCCAACCCTCATTCAGGCACAGGAAGTCCCCCCAGCCCTCACTCACCCACAGGAAGTCTCCTCGCATGCGGATGGCGAACTTACGCCTGCGCAGGCGGACCAGCCTTGCAGGTGAGCGGGACATCTCATGGATACACCTGCAGACACCAGCCAGCTGCCCACACAGCAGCTCCTGTTGGTCCAGTGGCGTCTGCAAAGCCGAAGTGGACAACACTCAGTGCAGACAGACCTCCTATGTGAATCCAATAGATACACAGCAAACTACTACATCGATACACATACACTATAAGCACAAAAGTATTGAGATACACCACTTAATCATTGAATTCTGGTAGGTTATTCAAACCAATTGCCAGAGGGATATAAAATCAAGCATCTAGTCATGCAGTCAGGTTTACAAACATTTGTGAAAGAACGGGTCATTATAAAGAACCCAATGAATTCAAGCACGGTGCTGTCATAAGATGCCACCTTTGCAATAAATAAGTTCATGAAGTTTCTGCCCTGCTAGATATTCCACAGTCAATTCTAAGTGGTATTATTGCAAACTGGAAACTTTTCGAAACAACAGCCATGAAGTAGAAGACCACGTAAAGTAACAGAGCGGGGGCATCGAGTGCTGAGGTGTATCGTGAGTAAATCACTTAATAACTGCAGAGTTCCAGATTTTACGGCATTAACCCCAGCAGAAAAACTGAGCTTCATGGAACGGGCTTCCAGGGCCGAGCAGCTGCATGCAAGCCTCACATCACCAAGCACAATGCCAGGTGTACGATGGAGTGGTGTAAAGCACACTGTCACTGGACTATGGAGCAGTGGAAACATGTTCTGTGGAGTTATGAATCATGCTTCTCTGGCAGCCTGATGGACGAGTCTGGATTTGGCGGATGTCAGGAGAACATCATCTGCTTGACTGCATTGTGCCAACTGTAAAGTTTGGTGGAGGAGGGATAATGGTGTGGGCATGGGCGTAAATCCCGGGGGGGACGGAGGGGACATGTCCCCCCCCAAAAAAATTATAAAAAAAAAAA